CTTTTGGTTGGTGCCTGAAAAATACCAGTAGACAGGTGAGTAAAGTTGAGGGAGACTAGCCACAGCCACAGAAGAAGGCCTGGCACAGTGTGTGTGTGCATCAGTATACATATGTGTGGACAGAGGTGTGTGTGTGCACATCAGTATACATACGTGTGGACAGAGGTGTGTGTGTGCATCCGTATACATATGTGTGGACAGAGGTGTGTGTGTGCACATCAGTATACATACGTGTGGACAGAGGTGTGTGTGTGCATCCGTATACATATGTGTGGACAGAGGTGTGTGTGTGTGTGTGTGTGTGCATGCATCAGTATAAGTATGTGTGGACAGAGAGGTGTGTGTGTGTGTGCACATCAGTAATCATTGTCAAAGAAATTTCTTAAAGATTAGTGTTTTTACAATATATCAACTTTTTTTCATTAGGTAATGAATTGATCACTACTCAAGATGAAATGTATACAATGAACATTAAATGAATTTGGGGCTAAATAAATATATGTGTGTATGTGTGTGTGTGTGTATGTGTGTGTATCAGTATACATATGTGTGGACAGAAGGGTGTGTGTGCGCACATCAGTATACATATCTGTGGACAGAGGGCTGTGTGTATATGTGTGCGCATCAGTATATGTTTGTGTGGACAGAGGGGTGTGTGTGTGTGTGTGTGTGCACCAGTCTATGTATGTGTGGACAGAGGTGTGTGTGTGTGTATGTGTGTGTATCAGTATACATATGTGTGGACAGAAGGGTGTGTGTGCGCACATCAGTATACATATCTGTGGACAGAGGGCTGTGTGTATATGTGTGCGCATCAGTATATGTTTGTGTGGACAGAGGGGTGTGTGTGTGTGTGTGTGTGCACCAGTCTATGTATGTGTGGACAGAGGTGTGTGTGTGTGTATGTGTGTGTATCAGTATACATATGTGTGGACAGAAGGGTGTGTGTGCGCACATCAGTATACATATCTGTGGACAGAGGGCTGTGTGTATATGTGTGCGCATCAGTATATGTTTGTGTGGACAGAGGGGTGTGTGTGTGTGTGTGTGTGCACCAGTCTATGTATGTGTGGACAGAGGTGTGTGTGTGTGTATGTGTGTGTATCAGTATACATATGTGTGGACAGAAGGGTGTGTGTGCGCACATCAGTATACATATCTGTGGACAGAGGGCTGTGTGTATATGTGTGCGCATCAGTATATGTTTGTGTGGACAGAGGGGTGTGTGTGTGTGTGTGTGTGCACCAGTCTATGTATGTGTGGACAGAGGTGTGTGTGTGTGTATCTCAGCTTGTAGTCTACTGTTGCTTTGAGTTTGCCAGACCTCAAAGTGCCCGTGCTACCCAGTGGAGAGGTCTGGCTTCTTTTCCTTAAAGTGGATGTATGTTAAAGACAGGGGCTTTCAGAATTATCCTAACAGGTATGAGAGCACAGAGTAGAAATACACACATGTACACAAAATGCACGTAGTTTTAGGGCCTCAAGCCAAAGGCAAAACAAATTCAAGAAATAAGTCATGCCAGGAAAATGTCAAGTAGCAGCCAAGTCTAGAAAACAACTTGTTTGGAAACACAGTGGATCTTTGACAGAGATGTCACTGGCTACAGCCTCTGCCGTGAACGATTGCTGTATTTCATTGAGATTTTGACATGAAAACTTTGAGTGAAACATTATATGTTAAAAACAACTTTAATTCTGTGCAAATAAACGCATTTGCATAAAAGAGACACGTCCTTTAAGAATATAATTTTTGAAAGCTTGATATGTAAAAGTCCAACAAACCTACTCTTAGGTACTAGATATTTGAATAAAGGAAAATTCCAGTGCTTTGGGATTTTCGTTGTAATTCTAGCCACTACACAAAAAAGAACCCTGCCTGGCTGGAAGCTCAGAGGCCGCGAGGAGGGCGCTAACAGCACAGGGTGGAGGATGTAAGAGGGAAGAGGCGTGCCCTCCGGAGTTCTCTCCTGCCACTTGCAAAGACGAAGACCAGAAACAAGAGGACATTGAAAACTTAATCTGCACCTTCTCTGTGACTGATTAGAGCCTGAAGACAAGAAAAAACTCAGGATACACTGACTGATAGTCCCACCCTGAGAGCTGCCCTGGCTTTCTGTGGAAGAATTATCGGGGAGAAGAGAGGACAGAAAAGGTAAGGCAGGACTATGTGAACAAGGCTCAGACCCGTGTCTTCAGAACAATCAAGAATAACTCTTCACCTTTTCTGTATGAATGGTGTAAATCTGAATATTTCATTGGAGATTTCCTTTTAGAAGACAGCGGTGCTTTTCTCTTTACCCAAAGCCCACCTAGCACGTAGGTCTGGCCACACCCGCTGCTGGGCAGAGCTTGTGCCCAGGTGACTCTGGAGGGGTCAGGAAATGCATCTCAGGGGCCCAAATTGCAAATGCTCTAGGCCTAAGAGATTGTCCAATTAAAAAATTCTCCTGTCTCATTCACATGAATAATATTTTGACAATCCTTGACATTAGTTAATTAATTTCCCATACATGATCTAGGGTAGACAGGAGGAGTTTGGGAGCTCAAACCATGCCACCAGGGAGGCTGTGCCAGGCTGACTGGGACAGGGTCAGGCTCGACTTCTGGCTTCAGAGGTGGTTTCTGCATGAATGTAACAGCAACACACACATCTGCCACCGTAGGAGGTCCTCAGAAAGTAAACAGACTAGCTCTTGGCTGAAAGTCTTTATGGCTATAGCATTATTCTTGTCGTTGTAACATTTTACCTTAATTTGATTTAACCCAAAGGATCTGTATTGAGTCAGCAGGAATCTATTGAATAGCAGGAAAATCATGATGCAGTTTTGCATAGAAAAATAGAAAATTCGTCACGACTTCCCTGACAGCCTAACAGCGTGGGGTGGGGAGTTGGCAGGGCTCGCGCTGGGAGTTTAGTTCCTCTGTACCCCAGCTGGGAGATGCCGGTCAGGTTCCTTAACCTCTCTGAGCGCTCACTTACAATGGGGCTGAGTGCCTTTCCTGCAAGGTGGCCATTCCGGGTGAGGTACGTGAAGGCCGATCAATAACTGACGGCCAGTCCATCGCTGTGGTTATTGTGAAATGCCAAGATCAGTCCATCACAGGTTGGCGTTCTCACGAGGCTCCGGGTGTCTGGGTCCAGAAACCGAGTCTTCAACCCAGGCTCCCCGGCCCTCAGTCCTGCCGGCGTATTGCACGGCTCCTGTGCCCGCTCGCGGAATCTGTTCCGCCTAAGTTCTGACCGATGCGGTAAAATATTAACACAATATGTTAGATATAAACTGCTTTTAGAGTTTTGAGTTTTACAAATTTATATAAGCCAGAATGAAGTATCCATCATCCACAGCAAATTCTATTACTCCCAGAAGGGGTAGATAAATCTCAGGGCATAATTACATTCCTGTCTGCCATGACCTTTGAAGATGTATATCTGCTTGAAAAGGATAGAATAATTCCTCTTTACTGAGGAACGTTTGGGTTTCTATTGGAAATAAGCGCTTATTGAAAAAGGCTGTGGACTCTCTATTTTCGGGTGTAGGCCCTTGTCAGTCTCTCTGGGCTTGCTCTCCCCAGTAACCTATAGGAGCCCCACCTGCTGCACAGCATGTGCCGAGGCTCACGGGAAATGGTGTGCTCTGTTTGTTTTCCAAGCGCGTGCCCACGCTCCCCTGGGCTGAGTGGGGACCAGCACGTGCCCACGCCATGCTGCTGTGACCATTCTCCTGTGGAGTGGAACAATACTCACAGCAACTCCTGCTGCTTATTTAAATTTCCAGGGAAAATCAGGATGCCTGAACCCAAACACTCACAGGCACCTGCACACCACCAGCTACGTGATCCAATTTCCTTTAAACATTTCCTGAGCCCTGACCTGCGCAGGGTTGGGATAGGAGCCCGGGAGGATGGGGACAAGAATGAGGTCCAGGGGGGAATTCTAAGAGAGTGGGGAAGAGGGGAGGGGAGAAGGGAGAGGGAGGAGGTGAGAAAAGGCAAGAATAACAGTGAAGCACCTGCTGGACTGCCCTGGTCCTGAACTCCCTTTGATCTGTGCCCGAGTCACTCATGCAGCGGCCCCACACTTTAACCCACGGATCCGAAGATGCAGCGGCTGGCGATGCATCCCGAGGATGCTGGGTGGGGATGCCCGAGTCACTCATGCAGCGGCCCCACACTTTAACCCACGGATCCGAAGATGCAGCGGCTGGCGATGCATCCCGAGGATGCTGGGTGGGGATGCCCGAGTCACTCATGCAGCGGCCCCACACTTTAACCCACGGATCCGAAGATGCAGCGGCTGGCGATGCATCCCGAGGATGCTGGGTGGGGACCACAGCATCACTCTGTCCATCCCACACTCTCACTTCCGGGTCTCGAATCATGCAGTCCTGACAGGCAGGACGTGCTCAGCGCTGTAATCCAAGGCTGAGAAGCAGCCCTGCGCCCAACTGCAAGTGCGACCTAGACTCCCAGGGGCACAGGTCAGCTCAGCAAAGACCACGGGGCAGGAGCCCGCACGGCACCACCCGCGGCTGCGGGCAGAGGGCAGCTCTTGCCCCTCTGGCTAAGGCTGACACCCACCCTGACCCGCTCAAGGGCAGTTTACGTGGGCTAGCTCTGGGTTTGCTCTGGATGAGGTGGTAGAAGGAGGAAGGCTCCCGTCACGTGGATACACCCAGGTGCCCTCCTGGGGCTCCAGGTCCAGTCCGTTACCTGAGACAGGCCTGCACTTGATCGCAAAGCACAGGGAAACCTTGCTGGACTGAACCTCGAGGGTCCAGGCACCTGCGCGGGAGGTGGGCAGTCATTCTCGGAGGGGCTTTCCACACAGGCCAGCAACAGACTCGAGTGGCCTCTGACTCCCCCAGGTGGAGCCTGGGGCGGCGTCGCAGAGGGGCCATCATCAGGACCCTCTGTGTGCCCTGCCCTGGGCAGGCGGTGCTGATGTTCTTGCCTTTGTTCTGCAAATTTGTAATGAAAAGAGCAGGAAAGAACAGTCTTACCCATGAGGAATTCTGCTCAGGACATAATATCCAGTATAGGAGTGTCGATATATCTGAAACAGACAGGAGAGAAAAAAACAAGCAAGCTTTGAGACAGAGGCTGTGACTATGGTATTTTCAAATCACCCAACCCCAACAAATGTCAGTGACCAACACCAGCTGACCCGAGACCTGAAGGCAGGGCACTTGCTTACTCAGAGTTAATACGCACACTGCTGACCTCATCGTTCGCAGAGGTTTACAGGGCAGCCAGAGGCCTGCTGGCATCTCCATTGCCACCGGCTGTGATGTGACTGGGGCTCAGATATCCGGCTTAACCAGATAGAGCACAGAACTAACAGGACACCTTGGCCTCTGGAGACGGTCACAACCAGCTGCACTCGGAGAGACACGAGTCCTGGCACTGCTGGAGCCCCCTGCAAGCCCAGGCGAGGCATCACCAGAGCCCCATGGCTTGTCCTCGCTGAGTTTCAGGTCTGCAGACAAGACAGGCTTAGCTGGGCAGACTATTGACCCTCTCTATGACCAGCTGGATGCCTTTACACGTTTAAGAACGTGAGCATCAAGAACTCGCTGCAAGAGGGAGTTGGAACAGCATGGTTTTCAAAACAGAAGCAGGGCTAGCTGTGACCTCACGGTCAGGGAGCTAAATCCTGGATCGCTGGCCGCGGTTTCAATCCCAGCTCTAGCGGCTTGGAAACTTGCCAGGTGCGTGCCCAAGATCTCAAAAGTCTGGAGAACTAGAGAAGGGATTAAGGCACGGTCATGGGGTGCTTTCTCTCTCTCTGGCAATTAGAAAAATAAAATACCAGAAGTAACGAAAAGCACAAACAGCATTTCCGAGTGCCTGAAATCCCCCAGTGTGGGTGCTGCTTCCTCTTCTTCCTTTTCTAAACGTACAGCTTCACTGAGATCAAATTCAGCCCATCAAAGCATACATGTGAGTAATTTCATAAAGTCGCGCAACTCTCCCGACAGCCCTGGAGTCGTCCCCACTCCTAAGCTCACCAGCAGTCACTCCACCCCTCCGCACGGCCCACAAGCACTAGGTGGCTGGCAGCCTTTGTGGGTCGGCCGAGCCCCGACATTCTGTGTGAATGCGATGTGAAGACAGGCGTGACTTTGTATCTGGCTTCTTTCACTCAGCATGACAATGTTTCCACGGTTCAGCCACGTAGCATGTAGCATGTAGCATGTAGCAGTACTTCATGCCATGGATGCCTCTTGATCTCCTGAGCCAGGGCCTTACTCCCCAGCCCACAGACACAGTGAGCAGAACATGCGAGATCCCAGAGAATCAGAGCAGGGCAGCTCGAGGGGCGCTGGAGTTCCGGACAGAGGCCCTCCCCATATACGAAGCGCAGCGGGACTCGGGGTGCAGAGAGAAGGGGATCTCCATTCCTGTTCCTCGATTTCCTTGCTGTCCATGTGCAATTGGTCACCAAGCTCCACTGGCCTTTGTAACCTTGGGACGGCTCTCACAGCATTTCCCACCACCGTGCTGGCCCCTGCATGCCTCAGAAGCCACAGTGTCCTCCCGCCTGGCTCTTCCCGCTCGTCCGTGCCTGAACGGATCCTTCCTAACCCCGCGCTATGCTGGGAGCAGTGAGAAGGATGGCTACTGCTCTGTGGCCATGACTGGCGCACAGTTTTGGAGCGAGCCCCAGGTTCGAGTGCTAGCCTCCTCCTCACAAGTGGGTGAACTCGAGCAAGTTACTTTTCTGAGCCTCAGAATCTTTCTACATAAAACTTTCAGGGGTAGGAGCTGTGTGCAGTTGCTAAGGAAATGTAAACCATGAGAAGGACAATGGATAGTTTCATCTCAATCTTGAGGAGCCCCGAGACTTGCTAGCGCTGTACAGAGTCCATGAAACTGTCCTCTTCTGGGCTCTCGAAAATGGGAATTCTGCTAAGAACTGCAGTCCGGCTGGCCACTTCTTGGAGATGGTGGGCATGAGAAACAGCTGACAGTGCTGCCCGGGGTCCCGTTGGGCCAGGCGCCGGCTCAGCTCAACGTCCCAGTCACTGGGGTGTTCCAGTCCCCAGGTCGGCCCCTCATAGCGGGAGCTGCCTGGGACTCCAGGCTGCGATTTCTGCTGCTCCAGGGGCCTCTGCAAGCCCCTTCTTATCTCGCCCTCTAATTCCATCCAGGGAGGAAATGAAAACTACCAGAAGGTGCAGATGAGCCAGAAGTTCCTCCCAAGCCCGGATGAGGGCCGCACGGTTATACACGAGATTTAAGGAAGACACGGTAACGCGGTGTGAGAGAGCTCACCGCGAGGAAAAGACAGACGAGGAGAAGAAAATCAAGGAAGCCTTGGAGGCTAGACGGCTAAAAAGTCATCTCAGTGAGGTATCAGAGATGGTAAGGGAAAAAACTAGAGCCTGAAGGAGAAAATCTAAAACACACGGAGCTGGGGAATGTTGTATTTCTTGGCTTTAAAATGAGAGAAAATGTGAAAATGAAGTATTTGCTCAGGGGGCGAAACTCCTCACAATTCCAAAGCGTTCCATTAGCAGATAAAAAGGAAATTGCATTGGGCACCAGGCTCACCACCAGTCCAGCCCTCCTTGGAAATTACATGGGTCAGCCCCGAGGAGGGAGAGAGAAAGCAGCCCGCCTCCAAAATCCAGGCCAGGTTTTGTGGACCCTGGCAACAGGACCCTTCCGGAAGGTAATGCCTGTCTTCTGTGCCCCACAGGGGCAGCATGCACAGTGGAAAGGCCTGCGGTCTAACATTCTTGTGTCACCTGCTCTGCCCTGATAACCTTTTAAGAGGGCAGAGATAAAACAAGCCTGAATTCCAGGGGCCCTCACCCCTGCCATTGATGTGGGGAGAAGTGAGCCAGGAAGCACCTAAAATAGAAACCAAAACTCACACCCAAACAAAAAACCCTGCACTTCTGGAGCCGGATGTGGTGCAAGGCTGACCCGTGGGAAGGTTGCCAGTTCACACCCCGAGACCGCCCTGAGTAGGCCAGGCTTTTCGCTGGAGCTCCTGAGGCCTGCGCTGTCTCTGGCCCACTCCCAGGCTGCAGGCCCAGCTGTAAGCCAGCGTGGAAGCTGCACCGGGATCCGGAGTGCCTCCTCTCAGGCAGAGGGTGCCGAGCCCCGTGTGCTAATGAGGAATCTGACACACGCTTCTCACACCCCGCTGAGGTACTTTGTCATCTCGTGAACTTAGGCCCCTTGTAATGACATGCAGTGAAAATAAAACAAAACAAAAGCAAAACTAGAAGACCCCAAATAACTAGGCACAAATTGAAATAATTAAAAGTCGAGGTGTTTCGTTCCTGTGATTCGAGGTGACGCAGTGTAACCGTGTGCGTTTGCCCTGGTCATCCGCCCCCTTTCCCCAGTACATGGGGCGATGTCTTAGGGCCATAGTCTCGGGAAGGGTTAAAATATATCTAGCTTTCAGATTTCAGACACAAAGGTAATCAACAAACCCTTCGGTTTAGTAACTATCTCATCTCTAGTCCTGGAATAATTGGTCTCCCTTGAAAATTCTTGAAGAGAGTAGGAAATGGTGATTTTTCTCAAACCTGCAGCCTCTTCAAATAAGAATCTCTTGGTGTGCCCTCCAAACCACTGCCAACCCTGTCATACTTCAATTCATTCTTTTGTGACCAACTTGTAAGTCATTTACAGAAAATGTTTCCTCTGCCCTCTGTGTCCTTCACACACGCTGCTTGGAGAGATGGGTGCTGTGAGCTTCTCTGAGTATACAGACAGGAGGTTGCCATGAGAAGGCATCTAAATACTGCACACGGCTCAGATTTCAGAGCTGAATGGTAAAAATTTCAGTTGTGATTCCCATTAGGTTTCCAAATATCCATTTTAAGAACATAGCCAGCGTAATCTGAATAACCTTTTTTCATTTCCCTGGTCCTCGCTCAGACGTGAGGTTCAGATCACCGTGCCCAGTGTCTGAGGCCCTGCGTCTGTGGATGAGCGAACCAGCCACGGCACTGCCGGAGGGAATTCCAGGGGCAAGCCTCACCCAGCCTGGAGGACATGTCCCTGCTGCCCTGCCTCCTTCCCAAGCTCGACACACCTGGCCCTCCACCTGGCTGGCCATGAGGACCAGGCGCCCGGCTGCCACCTCGTCCTGGCAGCTCATACCCCACCTCACTGCCCGCACCGTTATTTTGTCAGATCTCCTGCCGACTCAGTCTCGGCTTCACCCGAGAACACAACAGCTCCTCCTCTCCTGCACATGCAGCCCTCAACACCGGCCTGTGGGGGGGCAAGATGACAAGCGTAACGCTTCCTCACATCGTAGACGCCCTTGAGATTTTTGGAACATTTTTCTACGTCCTTTAACTCTCCTGTGGTTGGAGCAGCTGCTCCTTGCTTTGTCTTTGATTATTTTTAAATTTTGCCAAAGGGTGTGTGTGTTCACTGGAGAGAGACAGAAAGTCAGACAGAGAGAGAACTCCATGGGCATGGTCACGCTGCAACCCCTTCCCCGCCGTTTCTCCACCTGTTGGGTTCGGGACATGCACACATGTTGCTGGATATGGTTTTCAAGTTGCCGGGGCCAGGATTTGAACAGTGGAGTCGGCCATGTGGGATCTGGGGCCGTAACCCCTAGGTCACGACCCTGTCCTGCTTCATCTTTCACATTAAGAAACTGAGCTGAGATGCAAACTGTCTTTGATGTGCAAGCCATCTTTTCTTAACTAGCCAGAAATGCCCTGATAGACCCATTTTCAAGACAGCGAAACTACAATGAAAATTACTTGGGGAAGACAACGCTAAAGCCACAGCTAGCTTACCTACTGAAAGGGAATAATTCTCAGCCGGTTGAAATCAGGGCCTCAGAGAATGGCCCAGGGTCCACACTCGGGGCAGAGGGACAGAGTGAAACATGGACAGAAATGAGGGCGACTGGGAGAGGCCACAGGGGCAACATATGCCCCGTGCTCCAGGACTGAGCTGCCCAGCCACACGCCTGGCACGGTACCTGCCCACGGACAGTTTCGGAGCCCTTGCCAGTATATGAAGTGACTTCAAGTTCATGGGCAAACGGATTACACAAAGTTTATT